CACCTAATGTCTGTAACCTAAGTCCCGCGTGATAAGCTTGCAACTATACTTCCCCGGAGAAAATTTATCTTCAAAGTTTTCTTCCTACAAACTCCACATTCAATACGCCTCCTGTAAGTCATATGGTAATGAAGTTTGTACTCCAAATTTCTGTAATGACAATGAATGTGCCGTTACGGCAGAGATAAGCAAATTGAATCGGTTGATTCTGTATCCATTTTCCGACTAGGTTGGTAACTGAAAACGAATACCCAATCAGGAAAAGCAGGATTTGTGAACTCATTTGATCTGTAAACGCTTGCCCTCAAATTGTTTAAGGAAAACATTTTATGTTTTCTTGCTCACATTTACAAGTCAGACAACATAGAGTAAACGTACAGTGCATCACTAATAACTAAAGGAAAATAGGATAAGACAGTTAACGGACGAGATACGAACAATGGATGAGATGAGGAGCGTCACACGGATAGATTTATTCAATGCAACTCACGGTAGTCAATTTCTGTAGTGCAAGGAATCGTTCTTCTTGGGTAGCAGCCGCGCGTTCGAAGGCTAAATGCTTTTTCAACAAAGCCAGTGTCTCATCTAGAGTTTCACCAAGATCTTTACTGGCTAGGTACGGTTCTTGGGCCATCAGCCAAGCGTCAGCCACTTCAGCATCCCGAGCGAATTGGTAAACTTCCAGTAGAAGTTGCAGTGTTTCCCATCGTTCTGTCCATTGATCTGAGAGCTGAATGCGCTCAGTGACCAACTAAAAAAATACGGACGATATTAGCACCAATGAACACAACTTCGTGGTAGCAGTAGTAGTAGAGAAAGGGGTTTCAAATCACTGGTAAGGGCAATCTCGTAGTTAGGAACAACAGCAATCAGAATATCACGTTTGAGAGATAAGACCCCCAAGTTGAGGATTACGTCAGTGGGAACTAAAGTGAGCGACCGTGAATACCCCAAGTAGCTCAACTGCTCAACTTCCCTCCACTGGCAATGTTCCAAAGGGTGAGTATAAAATCAATCAATTGTACTGTCACGAATATTCCATGCACTTAAACCCTTGTATTGCAGGACATCTTTGTATATGAAATAATACAAACCCAATGACTTCAACGCTAACCTGAAAACTATACTGAACTGCCGTATAAAAAGTATTCCAGGTCTTTCAATGAGGTGGAATATATTCTTTAATGAGACGTATTGAAGCAGATTCTCTACGAGTTTACGAGGTCCTTTTGGTGAGAAAACCGCGCCCCTAAAAGGTTATGGTGAGCACTGAAAAAGCTACTTAGAATGCGGTTAAGAATCCAAAATCTGATGTCGTCAGGAAGAAAACATCGAGGCTCACTTGTATGCACTTCTCACGAACATCTTCCTCCCGAGGATGTCTTCGGTTGAGCAGTGTACGACCAAGACTCAAACAAATGCTGAAGTTCTCCTCACGGGCATCGATCTCAGCCTTGAGGCTCCTGTGGTTATTCATCAGCAACTCAACACCAGAAACATCCCTGAGAGAAAAAGGAACAAACGCAATGATTACATATTGCCACAAAATTGATTAGCAGTCAGGAGTAAGGTGCAATCGCGGAGCTAGGTTTTTTAACAGGGCGCATGTCTATGACAAAGATTATGTATTTACTCAAAAGGAATATATATTATGTTGACCGCATCACGCGAGTGCTGCGTACACAATCGGGACCGAATGAACCTAGTCAATGACTATGCAGCAGATTACAGGCAAACCAGGTTCAGACATTCTTTTCACCTGAGCAAATAACATCATTACAAAGTTTGCCTGAAGAGATGAACAACCAAGTAGCTTTCTTTATTACACGTGCCAGTGGGGTGAACAGCACTAGCGGTGAAGTCCATGACCAACGGAGCGCAGTTTGATTAAGGAAACTGGGAAGGTGGGTGGCAAAGTTGAGTAGGAGAGAGCTAAGTATATGGTCTTTAAACCAACAGCAAAGTGGTGTATCACTAAGAGGGATGGCGGTGATGCAATTTAAAGCGTGTACCCTATGGACCGATGCACGCCAGTGACAGCAAACGTTTGATGTGACCCACTACACTTTGGCAGTGCATGAACTCAAATCCTGGTACCCCATATTAGTCGGAGTTGGTCCACAGAAGCACAAATACAACAAAATAATAACAGTTTGGTTGAAGAGCAATTGGTACATAAATTGACTAAAAATACTGACTGTGAACCAACTCTCAACGCTCACCTCGGTTTCTCTTTGGTGGCCATTTCAGTTCGCATGACTTCCATCCACATGCGGAGTTCTCGAACCATGGCAAAGAACCGATGAACATCCGCTGCGTCCAGGAGATGAACTTTGCGTTGTTCTGTGGAGCACTGAAGCTGACGCCAAGCGTGAATAACTTCATCGCGACGATCACAAATTAGTCTCTCTTTGTCAGCTGCGTAGGACGGTAGTAAAGCGTTAGCCGCTTCAATCAGACCCTCAACCTACAACGAACACGGTGTGAGAAGTTAGAAAACTAGCGTCTTGGATGAAAAAAGCATCAAATCTGCATTTGTCGACCAAACTACAAAGATAATGTACCCAGTAATATATGGATATACCTGCGAACCGAGACGGGATAATTCGTATTCGAACGTTGCGTGTTTGCGTTGCAAACCAGCAACTGCCTTGGCATCGCGACCGACTTCTTCCGGGATACTGCTGGCTTTCTCGGCTATGCGATCGAGGACGTCCTGAAAAAAGAAAATGCATAGCATGAATGTTAGTTAACAATAAGCATATTCAAATTATGTGAGAGAATATACACTTAAACACATTACATTACATAACGTACGTACGCACGTACATACATCCATACACTACATTACATTACATACATACATACATACATACATACATACATACATACATACATACATACATACATACATACATACATACATACATACATACATACATACATACATACATACATACATACATACATAGTGTTGACAAAACTCGTGCAACATCACCCTCATTTTGAAAACCCATTTCAGCTTGCAATAGCATACCTATATATAGATGGTTATGCGTACAGTGTATTTATTCCTGACTTTATCCCCAACATCTACGTTCTTAGTTCATTTCTATCACCATTTGAATGTGCGCGGCCTTGTGTATCGCTATAAAATTTGCAGTAGTTCGAAAGTTACAGCTCTGATTCAGAAAATATTTTGGGCAAAGTATCATGGGTGTTCATTCTTTTTAACAGATGATTCGTGTCCTATGAGAGTTTCTAT